TGGGTCGCGACGAAAGGATAGGGGGAGGGGGGAGGGAGGAGAGTCGAACGGATGCCGCCATTAGAAATTAGAAATTAATCGGTGTTATTCGGGTTCAGAGAGAGAGAGAGACTCGATTAGAATTAAGGATTGAACGGGATCCCGGATTTTATGATGAATTTTGAAAGCCCTCTTCTTTTCGAAAAAGAAGGGGGTAGAAAATAGAGTCGTTGGAAATTTTTAAACAGGGAGAATCCGAGTCTTTCGATAAAAGGGGTTTTTGTTATATTCAAGAATGGAGGGTAGTGTATTTTTTAATGGGAGACGATTGAATTGAATTTGTATAAATCCAAAGTAAAGTTAGAGGAAGTTTCCTTGCGAAGAAATTTTGAAAATTTGCAGAAGGGGAGAAAAGGGAATTTTAAAAAAATTATGAAAATTATTTTCGAGGCGAATTGAATTTATCGAATTGAATTTAATCGATCAAGGCGTTTCTACTGGGTAAATGATTAAGACCGATCGAAAAATTTAAATTTCGAAAACCGATCGAATTCAATTTACCGGATCGAGTGACAGGTTTCTTAGGAAAATAATTAAAATCGAGAATGAGAAATGAAAATGTTTCGAAACGATCGAATTTACCGGATCGAGTGACACGTTTATTAGAAAAATAATTAAAATCGAGAATAATAAATGAAAATATTTCGAAACGATCGAATTAAATTTACCGGATCGATTGGTCAAAAGCGAAAAATTTAAATTTCGAAACTATCGAATTGAATTTGCCGGATCGAGTGACACGTTTCTTAGAAAAATAATTAAAATCGAGAATAATAAATGAAAATATTTCGAAACGATCGAATTTTCCGGATCGAGTGATTTAAGAAAATAATTAAAATCGAGTATAAAAATAAAAAATATTTCGAAACGATCGAATTAAATTTACCGGATCGATTGATCAAAAGCGAAAAATTTAAGTTTCGAAACTATCGAATTGAATTTACTGGATCGAGTGACACGTTTCTTAGAAAAATAATTAAAATCGAGAATAATAAATGAAAATATTTCGAAACGATCGAATTTTCCGGATCGAGTGATTTAAGAAAATAATTAAAATCGAGTATAAAAAATAAAAAATATTTCGAAACGATCGAATTAAATTTACGGGATCGATTGGTCAAAAGCGAAAAATTTAAATTTCGAAACTATCGAATTCAATTTACCGGATCGAGTGACACGTTTCTTAGGAAAAGAATAAAAATCGAAAATAAAAAATGAAAATTATATGGGGTTGGATTTCGAGTCGACGATCGAATTGATAAAAAAACGATCGAAACGAATTTACGGGATCGAGGAGTGACGCGTTCCTTATAGGAAAATAATTAAAATCGAGAATAAGAAAAAAAAAAAAAAAAAAAGAATTAAAATTATACGCGGACGGGAAGGGGTTGGAAAGGAAGATCATCCTGCGCGTCATCCGGTACAATTGAATTAATTAATCGCCCCCTCCCTCTCCCCCTCCCTCCCCCGGTTTTCCATCGATCTAGCCGTCATCGAGTCGCTCCGTGAATAATGCGAAGCCCCGCCGAAGGCGCGCAGTATTTTGATCTCCGCGAATCGGCCGATAGTTCTTCGCCCTCCCCTCCTAGCGAATTTTCCAATCGATTCAGATTCCAAGATTCCAGACTTGATATCGATCCCCTCCCCTCTCCCACATCGATTTATTTATGAAAAAAAATTCGAATATATTTTCTATCAACAATTAGGGATTAACGAGATTTCGATTGAGATCGGAGAATCTTAAATATTATATCTTCGAATTCTATCCTAGTTTCTTTCGATCATCTATTCATTCACTCGTTCCATTCGTAGTGAAATTCGCGCGCGATTCTCCGTATAAGAAATAATATCGAATCAGAATATCATTCTTCTTCGATTTAAAATTTTTAATATTTCCTCTCGTTGCAAAAATTATTTATTTATTTATAGGTTTTATAATGCAATTATACATATATACGTATGGATCTTGGATCGTTTGCTTCTCGAAAATTTTTCTCGAAAACTTACATACGTATATTTAGATCATTCGAAATAATATATGCCCTTCTTATATATTATTTTCCAAGAAAAACTTGCATCGCAATTACAACCTAGTCAAATTCCGCCTTTTTCAATCAAAAATTCAATTTCGACGAATCGAAATATTCAAATTCTTGGCCACAAAAGGGGAAGAAGGATAAATCGAAATCCGGATAATTTAATCACCCGTCTCCTCGAAATTCGAATTCGAGCGAATCAACCTCTTTCCCGGAAAAGGAAACCTACGAATTCTAACTTTCATTTCCTCTCCCTCCCGTATCGCTCTAACAGAGAAACGACTCCAAATAGAAGGAGGGAGAGGGTGGGTGGAATAAAATCAGTCTACCTCAAAAATCGGTGGTCTCCATGGCGGAGGAGGAAGGAA